AAGGTAGCTGCATCCTCCAGTGTCCAGACTTAAGCTACTGGAGTACTGCTTACTGAGGAAGGACCAAGCACGAGATGTTCGCTTACACATTTTAGGAGCTCAATAAAAGACATTCTGACAGATTCTCTTAAAAAGAGAGGTCAGTGAGCTGAATTCAAAATACAAAAAACCCAAACCTGCTGCTATAGTGAATTCCAACTAGCAGTGACCCAATAAGACAGAGTGGAAACTCCTCACAGCTGTGATGTTCAAAGCTGTGATTCTTACGAAAGCTGACTGCACATCTGTCTCCCACGGAGTGGCTGGTAGGTTCCAAACACTGACCTCTAATTTAGTAGCTGACTGCTCAACTACTATACCAGTAGGACTCTGAATCCTCTCATGCCAAGACTATCTACATTATATAAATCTAGAAATAGCAGGATATACATTTAGAAGTTTTGTGGAAAAGGAGTTAGCACCAAAACCAAAGCATACTCACTGCCATCGTGTCCATTTGGACACATAATGACCGGACAGAACTGCCCCAGTGGGTTTCTGAGCCTGAAACTGTATATGGGAGTTGAAAGTCTCATCTTTCTCCCACGGAGTTACGGTTGGTTTCGAACTGCCAACCCCATGGTTAGTAGCCCAACGCATAATCCACTAGACCACAAGGACTCCTGGCACAGTACACTTAAATTCAAAACGAAACAAAAGCATATCCAGGGAAGTAAAAGGGAGCCTGGGTAATTGTGGTTTGAAGAAAGAAGTTACAGAACAGAGCCTTTAAATGAGGCGCATACTACACCAACTGGTGCTGGGAGGTTAATAAGGACTCCAAGTTCAAAGAGGCAATTGGGGCCTAAGGCTAAGAGACCCTCCCTGTTTTAGACAAACCCGAGGTATCATAGGCTGCTTTTAAAGAACTAGTCTACTTTTCTAATTTTCTAGAAATCAGATGGCCACAGGCTCAAGTAAAGGAAAAACCCACCGCCATTAACCACACCCTGAAGCAAACCAGCTGTAGCGGTCACGGCGATTCCAGCTCCTGGTGGTCCCACAGGCCATAGCAGGGCTGCACCCCAGGTGTTCCCAAGGGTAGATCTTTACAGAAGCTGACTACCACATCTGTCCTTTGAAGTGGCTCCTGGGTTTGAACCTTTTGGGTCGCAGCTGTCTGCTTTATCCTCTGAGCCACCAAGGCTCGTCTCCATACACACTAGCAGGTATAAATAATTGGTCTGACATCGTAGTCTCTCCATTAGTGTTCACTGTCCCTAAAGCTTTGTGCTTTCTGGCCTCTTATTAAAGTCCTCAGTGGCTCCCAGGCGTGAGATCATTAAAAGGGGTCATAACAAGGTAATGTAATGATGTCTGCAAAGCACTTTGAACTTCGATGAGGAGAAAGGAAGTCTTTTGCCAGAAACCGTGGTTCCTTTTCCTAATGATTTATTACCGCTCTCTCCATTCTCTCCACTGAGTCTGCGCATGGCTCTTCTCATTGATCCACAACGTGCGACTTGTTTCAAAGCCTGGGACTTCGTGGCACTCTTGGCAGTCACAAGAACGCACCGTCATTTCCACTTTCTCTTTCTCCTGGAACTGCCTGCTTGCCTGGAGACCATAAACGCGAAGACTATCATTTTCAATTATTTCAGAGGGTCACGGGACTTTTTGGACACAAGACTCTTCAGGGGTTCAAGATGTCAGGAAAGTTCATTGTAGTCTGGAATCCATCTTGCAGACAGAGTTTTGCCAGGTAAAAGAGCCACTTCCTAAAGACATACCTGTGCTCGCTGTAGTTGCCAATCCTGGCAGAACCTGAACGGCGAATGGTCCTGCAGCAAAGCATGAGGCACAGTGGAGATGAAGAAGCAGCAGGTTGGGATTTTGCGGGGGAGGCTCTGATTTACCTCCTAGCCCCACTGTGATCTATGGTAACCTCAATGGGTGACCTTCACTCCACGCTTCTCCAACAATCTGCCCCCCACGACCACACAGGGGACTCCACTTAGGTCTGTACATTTCTAAAGGTGGTTTCTCCGTCTCTCTAACCCTTCAGTGCTCTTCAATTTACTATGTAAGAACATCAGTTTTAACATCCTCAATGCACATTTCCTTTTGCTATTCCTTGAGTTTGGGGGGGTGGACAAAAATAGTCTGAAAGGACAAGATTCGGGATGTAGGCATATGGGTGCTCAATGACGTCCTTTGAACGAACAAGCAGACGCATTGCAAGGACGGAAAAGAATTCCTCAGTATACATTCCCCGGCCTGTTCCGCACCAACGCGGTTTTCAATTTTCTTAAGATTGTTTCATAACAAGCCCCCATGATTGTCCTCTGCCAAGAAAATCTGACAGGATGGCTCCTTTGGGGTCCCCCAAACAGCTGCCATAACCTTCTGAGCTGACCTCTCTGCCTGGAATTAACTGGGCCAGCAGATTCCCCTGGAAGCCCCTCTTTGACTGGACCTGTTTCTTGAAGGCACCCTAAAGCGACTAAGGCAAGTGTATTACTGAGAGAACTTCTCTACAGCCATTTACGGATTGCAGAGAAATATTGAAACACACTTTTATTTGGAATAAACCCATGCCTGGATAAACTGGATTAGAAATCCTTTTGAACTTAGCTTCGTGTATGTGATGCACATGCATGTGTGTGTATAATATATATTCTCTAATTATTTATGCATGCCTTACGCTCTTCTCCTAATATGCTTCCTTGAGAGGAAAAGAAATGAGTGGAGTGATAGAGTCCACTCAGATTGGCTCATAAATTCAGTGATTTGTATTATTTGACTCATGTGTCATGGAAGAAAAGAGGCTGTCAGCCACTGGAATAGGCAGATCACTGTACAATACACCTGAAGTCATCATTCACATTTTATAATGAATTACTTAATACCAATAGTTAAGGAGCCGGTTCTGTGTCGGCTGTTGAATACACAATAGAGTATCTGATTGATTGTCTTCCATACTAGTGTGAAGACAGATGTGACATAGCCAATCATCCACTAGATCGGTAGTTACGATTGTGGTAAGTGCTATGAAAGGCAAAAGGGCTAGCTCATCTACTTTAGTCTCTGGCGCTAGGGAAGGTTTTCAAGAGGATGTGAGCCCTAACTGAAGATGTCTGGGAGTGCGGTGGAGTTAGGGAGGGTAGAGAAGTGATGTCAGAGAAAAATAAAATTGTTTTTTTAAGCAGGGTTTAAGCAAAGACGTCCTTGAAAAGATGAGGAAGTCGATGGCGCTGCAGAGCCAGCATCTGGGGCTTGCTGGTGTGAGGATCAAAGGCTCACTGTGAGCAGAAGCTTCACACAGGGGTCGTCAGCAACCCGCGGCTCAGTACATACATGTTGTTCTGAAGTAAAACTGAAAACCAAAATACAACTACCGCTACCATTGTTTCATTTATAACATTTTAAAATGTTATTCTGATAATAGTGATTTCATTTGTTCATAAAAATATATTTATGGCTGTTGAATAATTTTTTAATGGTTGTGAGGACAGGATTGGCTCTCTTCCATCTCAGGAGTTTGCTGACCCCTGCACTAGACTAAGTACGCTAGATTTTTTTCCTTTTTAAAACAGGAAAGTATTTTTTTCGTTGTTGTTTTGAGGAGAATATCATGGTGGTCAGATTTATATTTTCAGTTTGTCCACTTTAAACTCTTAACCTAAACTTCTCTGTGGAGAAAGTTTCCTTAAAATAGATTCAATTCTTTACAAGAAAACTGCTTAAAAAAAAATAATTCCACATGAAATGTTTTCTCAGCCCCACTCCAAATCCAAGCCCCCCAAACACAATTGTCTGAAGAGAAACCCCACTGTGAGCGTTCACACATACCCTGTTTCCTCTGGCAAGGCTGAGCTGGGGCTCCCATTCACCTGACAGGGCTCCTGGGTAGGGGAGTCAAAACCTTTTCGGTCTTGACCTGTAGGGCTGTTTGTTACTCGATTTTGTTGCAAGTCCCACTTTCGAGCTACGTTGTTAATGGTTAACCGTTTCTTCTCCTATGGAAAAAAAAATCAATTGTGACATGAATTCCATAACGCAAGTTTTTGGTAGAAGAGGGTCCCTAAGCAGCACATCATTTGTAGGTTCTGATCATTAGTTTAAAAGAAGCTCCCAAATATCCACCCTACAATGAAACATCGGGGGGCTTGACCCTGTGCATTCAACTACTGAAACAGTGCTCTATAATCCTAAAAGATCCAAAAGATACACGAACAATAATTATTCTTCAGGATCCTCATCTCATTCAAAATTATTGGTACACAGGAAAATCCACTATCTGTAATTTAAATTTGACAGGTATTTAAATACTTGTTAAACTGTCGATTCTGATTCCGCATATCTGGGATGGAGAGGCAAATTCTCAACAGGGGGTCAAATTAGATTGCACTGCTCTAAACCCTGCTTCAGACTCACTCAGATGTCATGGGGGAGCTTGTTCAAAGTCAGATTCCGAGTTTACATCTCTAACAGACTCCTCGGTGTGGCTGACGCTGCTAGTCTGAGGTCCACAGGTAGCGGGCCATTGACTCAGAGCATTCCACACCAAGGAACCCCCCCGCCCGGGTCCATTCTGACTCACAGCGACCCCACGAGTAGGGTGTCCAAGAGCGTCAGTCTTTACGGAATCACACAGCCTCATCTTCTCCCCTGCTTGATTTTCTCCCCGAAACAATGTTTAAAAAAAAAAAAAAAGGCAGATCTAGTGAAAGCAACTGTCATAGTTGAAATGTTTTTACTCCATTTTCTAAGGAAACAAAGGAGAACATAATCCGTATCCAGGTGAGGTAGCCATTATGCAAAGTCAGCAGTTTAAAATGGCGCACCAACTAGATGTCATTGCCACGCAATTGCCTCCTAGGGAAGAGCAGGGGTGTCTAAAGGACGCCGGCAGGTGTGCCATCCCCTGCTTATTCTGGGGCCAGGGAAGGCTCTCACTGGTGACCCCTGCCCATTCCCTCACTCACGTAATGGCATCAAGTCCGTGTGGACTCACAGAGACCCGACAGAGCGGAGTAGAAAGGCCTTTGGGGCTTTACAGGCTGTTTCCCAAGGTGGCCATGACTGCCCTCTGGGGGTACTGGTTATGGGTCGTAGTACAAAAGTCTCAATCACCAAATGTGCCAAGTAATTTTTATTTTCTCAAAAGGGGGTGGAATGCCAAAAAAGTTTGGGAACTTATGCTGTAAATCTTCACAAGAGTAGAAAGCCTCGTCTTTCTCCCTAGGAATTGTTGGTGGTTTTTATGCATTTGAAAAATGTTAGTTAAAAATTTGTCAAACTTCCCCAAATGGTCAATGGCAGCAAGCAGCTGGACGTATTTTCTGTTGACAGCGGCGTGGTGTGATTTGGCCCCTACAACAGGCTCTCCTGACACTGGCAGCGTTCCAGCTAAGTCATCAATGGAGTTTCTTTGCTCCAGGGCGCAGACAAGTGTGGTCTGGAGCTCTGGAAGCTCTACTGAATTTATTTCTAAATATTGTATTTACTGAATCATCCATTCATTCAGTTATTCATCTGGGAGCAACAGATGCTTGATAGGAAGAACTGCTTTTAAAAAACAAACCAATTTTTTAAAAGCCAATAGCATGGTCTGGTCGTGGGAAATGTTATTCCTATACCCTTAAAAAGTCCCTCCTCCAGCGAGATTGCCCAGACACAAGGGAATTTGGGGCAACCGTGGTTGCACGGGAGCATAATTCCAGGGTATGACAGCAAAGTCCCCTTGGCTGAATCAACGAAGAGTTAGAGCCGGCAGGAGAGGGTTTGATATAGCTAATCATCGGGGTCTGCGATCAGAGAGGAAAGCTGGGAGAACTCAGGCAGTTGAGGATAACAGCAGGAAATGGAATTGTAGCATAATGACTGACAGTTCTAATTACTGTGTAAGTAGGACTGAACTGAGAGCGCTTGGGACCAAGTGTCTTATTTGTTTGTTTCTTTTTTTACTTTTCTTGTTATTAACCTAGGGATACTTTTCATAGAGTAAAATACACAGATTTCAAAGGTACAGTTGAATCAACTTTGAAAAAGGTAATATGCTTGTATATTTCACATCTCTGTTAAGCAAAAATCATTTCATTATCCCGGAAAATTCCCATTTCCTAAGTTTACTATATACAACTTTTGATTCCTACTAGTCAATTTTTTAAATTGTGTACTCCACTTTCATAGTAAAAGGAAAAGCATTTATACAAGACAGAGACAACTAATGGTAACCCATCAAGATAATGTCTTCCTTTTATAACAGCATATGAAACATCAAAAAAGCGATAAGCTTTAAACCTGAAGCAGTAAACCCACTGGCACTGAGTCGAAGACAACACAGAGCAGCCCTCCAAAGCAGTCGATCTTTGCAGAAGCAGCCAGCCTCCTTGTTTGGTCAGTACGGCTGGTGGTTTTGAACTGCTGACTTTATGGTTGTCAGTATAACACATACCCCATATGTTTTAAGAGGCCTTCATCTGTCATATTTTATGATGTCATTATGTAATATTAAAAACAAAACAACTACTTTTCTATAAGGAAAGTAGTACCTGATATACTAAATCATTTAAACCCAATTTAAAACACATTTTAAATCCCTAAATTCTTCAAAATCTCTACGATCATCCCTTTATTAGATGAACTAATGAGAAAAAATATTTAATTTAAAAGGCTACCACTTAAAAAGAGCCCTCGTTGCAAAGTCCACTAGGAATAGGAAATACAGGAGGAATGATGCCAGTCTACTGCATGGTTTCCAAAGCCAAGGAGAAGCGCCATGCTCCCTGAGATGCCGCACTCAAATGGGGAGAACCAGTGTCACTTCTGTTGATATTTATTGTTATCTCTTCCTTGGAACATGGCTTACTTTGGCGTGTGTTCTATAACGTGCATTCTATTTTATATCAGAATGTATTTATAGATAGTAACCAAAGTTCCTGGGAAGCTTGCGGATCAGTAAACCCAGTCTCCTGGTAGGCATGACAAGCATGAGCGTGCGTCGGTGCACATGCATGTGGGATCGGAGACCCACCTTAAGCAAGGATTGCTTATGGTTCTCCCGCTTCTTCTCTTCCTCCTTTTTGGCTACAGCACAGGCCATGCGCCTTTCTTCCTCCTGTCAGAGAAAACAGGAAGGGTTAAGTGTCCAACCATGTTTTTATGCTCAGTATCTTGGTCCTGAAAGTCTGTTCTCCTTCTTGAGAGGCATGCTCCTGCCCAGAGAGAAGATGTCCTCAAAGGAGAAATAGCCCAGTTGTCCAGCCCCCGGTATTTCCCTCCTCCTTCCGAATCCTGAAGACACAACACAACTGTGCATCCTTACCTCTACTCCTGACCGGAGGCAAGAGGAACCAAGCTGCAAAGGAAGAAGAAGAAAAGACTACAAAGGGGTGTGTCTGCAATCATTCTCCTTGGAATTCCTCGCTTCAGCAAGCAAAGCTGTGACATCTGCATGCCAAAGGTTGTTCAAAGCCTTTCTCCAATCTTGATGCCATGTCCTTCCTCATACAGCCCCGCGTCTTGGACGATGGGCCCAGCACACAGACTGCATAAGCGTACAGCCCTGACGTGCACCTTTGGAAGCCATTATTTTGAGAATAAGGAAACATGTCACTGAGGGTCAACGAGCTGTCACAACCAGGGCCAGCACCAGAACGCGTGTCTTCTGAGCAGTGTGAGTGCTGGTGTTTTTAGTAACAAATAGACGTTGGAATTCCTTTCATTTATTTTATAGGGATGAAAGAGGGGAGGTCAGATTTCAGGACTAATCTGCTGTGTGGTTTAGTTGCTTTAAAAGCAATGGGATTGTATTATGATTTGAGAGGAATTTAAAGCGTTTTTTACAATATAGGAAACTATTATTCTTAATTTTTAAAGAAATGACAGGCAATGGAGAGCAATAAACTCAGGAATTCAGAGTTTTAATTTCTTTCTTTACAAAATGTCTGGTATAATAATTATATGAAATTCATGTATTTAGTAGATGCTGATGTGGTACCTAAGGAGTACCAAATTTGTTCTTTTTCAGAACAAATCTTTTAAAAGATTTGCAATTGTACTGATATGCAATTGTTGATTTATCTATAAAAAGTGAACTAGAAACATATTGGTTATTTAAAGAGCCAATTTCAAGCAGTACTGGAAACTGTATGGATCACGTACTGCACATACTTAAGAGATGATTTCACCTGATTTAAAAAAAGAATTTGAGCTTCTATTAAAGGCAGCAGAGCTTTAGAAGGAAAGTTAAATGCTGGAAAATTGGATCTATGCCACATCAATTCCAATAATTAATGTTCTAAGGAAGTTATATATCTGAAGGCTATCTTTCAGTCCAAATAATGATAGAGTAACTAAACTTACAAACAAAAACAAGTCCTCCAATCGTGATGATAAGCTATAACTCTGCTCGTCAGAAACAAAAACTATGCACTTCTGGCACCTTCATGATAATTACTCCAACTTCTGAGCTATAAACCATATCTTTGATGTAGCAAAATAAAGGGATTTACCTGATTTAAAATAGCTAAGTTGCCTCACTGCAGTTTGACCACAAGGACCAATATATAAATGATTGTAAGTTAATTAAGCAGTACAGTGATTTAATAGGGGTGTGATAACCTAGTTTATTCTGTTAACAGAGTTTTAAAAGTGCTAAAGCAATGTACATACTTTATGAAATTCCTGCTCCAAAATAAATAATAGTAGTCCTGATATATGCAGTAATTTATTATACGAGACCTCTTAAGAAAATCAAATACAGTCTAGGGTTTCACTATGTACCTCAGAAGAGATAAAAAGGCATTGTTTTCCTCAAATATATCAAATATTAAAAGAAGATTTAAAATCATGGAATTTTTTCTAGCATAGATGGTCAATATTTTTTACTCAAACCATCTTTTTTTTTTTTTTTTACAGGCAAGTTTTACTTTTTCAAGGCCAAGTTAGGATCCAAGTCAAGACTAGAGCTGTGTCCAATCTGGCTGCAACTGACTGAGGGCTATTAGCTGTTAACTACTGAGGCTGCGGGTAGGAGGGGTGCACGGCCTCTGTTTTACTGCTGGAACCACCTCAAAACTCATGCTGGCTGACGATAAGAAAAGTGTGTGCCTCCTCAATCAAAGATCGTTGCAGAACAGGGCTACTGTTCTCCACCGGGTGGGGGTCGGGGTGGCGCTAAGCATTCTAGGGGCTTTGATCTGACAGCAATTTCAATTCCACAAATGACCAGCACAAAAGAGAAACATGTTAAGTCCCAGATGTTGACAGAAATGTACTGCATGGAAATGATATTTATCACTTCTACTCAAATTTCATTGGCTAGAGCAAATTGTATGACCACACCTAGATCCAAAAAGGAGGAAATTGTCATCTTCCCATACGTCCAAACAGGAAGGGAGCCAGAAAATACTGATGAGTATTACTAAGGTCTACTACAATAGGAAACTTACTTCCACTAGGGATAAGCGTCTTCATTTTCAGGTAGCAACTTGTACACATGTTCATATTGAGCTGCCTGAATGTGTATTTGAGGCACAAACTTTAAACGCTATTTCAGGATGGTGAGCATAATGCTTGGTTGCATTCACAAAATGCTGCCTTGGGAATAAAAAGGAGCCAAGTTCCACCTCCCAGAATTTTTTATACGGTGATCCTTCAAATGTGATTATTCTCTCTCTTTCTTGCACAGTTATGAAAATAATTGAGGACAGCTGTAATCTTGTCATTGTGTCTTCTCTGTTGTATACTAATCATGGTAGTTTCTCTGGAACTACTCTAGCAATCGTCCTCTATAATGAGTAAGTGAGGCGTACTCTGACCACTAGAGAAGAAGACAAGAATAGAGGCTGCACTCGCCCTCTCTCTGAGTCCTCTGTTTATATAAAGGAAGCCACCACTGGGCCAACAGTTTGCTGTAGAAGGGTGGCTTGTGTGTTGCTGCGAGGCTGGAAGCCATGCCACCGGAATTTCGAATACAAACAAGATCATGTATGGTAGACAGGTTACCATGGAGCCTCTGGAC